CTCAAATCGCGCGAGAATAGCTCCTGCACGCCAATTAGGCTGCGATGCATAGGAGGAGTTTAACAAAACTTACCTCTGAAAGCATATCCTGAATCATTGAAAAGCTTCTGGTGCAGAAAGACCCCAAGTTTCTCGCGCCCCACGATAGTCAGGCGCAGCTCCCCCTGATCCATCGCGAGAGCGAACGGCTGCTCAAGGTGGAAAATGAGGGTTTCCGGATGCAAGACCCGTCGTCCCGAAAAGACTTTCCGGCACTGATCCACCGTTGTGGCCGTGAGTAGCCCGTCCTGGCGCAATTTGCGGAGCGCGCTGGCGCAACGTTCGTATGCCACGATTTGAGGCAACACGATCTGCCACGGGAGCCCGTTGGGGAGCAGCAAGTCGCTCCCGACCGCGTCGTCGGAATTGACTCGCAGTCGTATCGCGCCGGCGAAAGGGGATTGCACCGGAGGCGGGAGGTAGTACAAATAGCCGTAAGCATGAGGCGGGAATGGAATCATGCGGCCCATCGACCAGTGGTAGGAGAGCCTAAAGGGTGGATCCCCTTGGTTGAAGTACACTAGCAATTTCTTTCCGCCGGCCAGGTCGATAAAATCTGAAGATTTGAGATTCTCTGCACGAAGGGAGGACACAACGTGTCGAGTGATGGCTTTAAAACTGGCATAAGATAAACAACCGAGGGGCGACTGACAGAGAATCGAGGAACCAACCGAGGGCGATTCTCAGTCGAATACGTGCGGCGGGGTAATTTTTGTTGAAAACGAAGACAATGAGCTGCATTTTCCTCCCAAATCCATCGAAATAGATGCAGCATATCAAACTCTTGGATTGAGGTTTGGAGCCACGCGATTCGGATCTAGCCAGAATGCTCGATACCTGCGGTTTCAGTCAGCGAGGAGATGAGTGAGCGCGCATGACTGAACTGTGGATTATCGTGTGTCCATCGAAACTGAAGGTAAGCCTTGAATTAGGCCAGTGGATCATGTGATCGGCCCGTGGGTCCGGACTGGTGGTGATCCCCATTTTTTTGAGTTGACTGCAAGGTCTTTTGGAAAAAGGGCGCGGATTTGAACCTCCAGTTCCCTTGATTTCTCTGGATTTAAATCACTGACAGGGGACGGAGAACCTGTTTGATTCACCAGGGATCCATCTTGTCGTGACTTTTGCCAGCAAAAAATGAAGACTGAGGTTTCCTTTGAATTGGTTGTTAGGCTCATTGAACGAAACGATAAAAACTTGACTAGATGCGTACCCACGCCCTTCGGGGGAGTCTAACCCCCGTCTTCCCTGTACTGGCTGTGTTCTTCGTGAAAGCCAGGGATGATCGATCCACATCATCCACTAGGGCTTCATCGGCGAGGTACAAGGCCCAATAGGTTTGTGTGGGCCCAGGAACTCAAAGGAAGTGTCTATACAAGTTAATCAGTGAATGTACTTCCCCTTGGAAGAATAAATAAAAAACTTTTCCTGTTAAAATGACACTGGAGGGAATCGAACCCACGTTAAAAAGACCAACGACAGATGCGCATTCAATAAATCCTCTCACCTAACCACTCACATAAATGAATGAGAATTTATTCCCTGCAATGAGTAAGAGAACTGGTTGGAGAAAAAACAGTATAGTTGTATGAACTTGTATCGTGGTCAAAAGAAAAAATGGTAAAAAGTACATAGGCTTCTGCATTGCCAGTGCCCCAGGGAGGATTCGAACCTCCGGCTTCCCTTTCTAATCGTGATTTTGTCGAAACACGCAACTAGAGAGGGGTGATCTGCATTGATGTACCGGGGTTCTCCCCTTGTTTCAAGGCAGAGTAGGTTGAGTACTTTTGGTGCAGTGTTTGTGCAGCGTACAGAAAATTTTGAGAGGAAAATGAAGAGGGAAAGGGTGAAAATGCAATTCATTGACACCTTGGCGGTGTATCACGTGTTTGACAAAAAAATGGCTAGTACCCAATTCACTTAGTGCCCCAGGGAGGATTCGAACCTTCAGTTTCCCTGCCTTTGTACATCAACGACATGAAAGTGACTGGAGAGGGAGATGATCTACTGGGGTTCTGCACCTTTGTTTTCAGGTAGGGTAGGTTGGGTGCTCTTGGTGGAGTGTTACAAGATTATGTATGATAGGATTTTGAAGAGTGAAAGAGTAAAAAATCAATTCATTGACCACCGTCCAAAGGAACCCGCCACCTGGAAGTATCAAGTGCTTTACCAAAAAAAAGCTGTCATTCACTGCTAGTGCCCCAGGGAGGATTTGAACCTCTGGTTTCCCTAAATACGGAAAAACTCACAATTTAATTACAGCTGTTCCCGAAAATAATGAGACAAGCGATATTTTTTTCCGTGTTCCCAATTCGGAAGATCCATACCGGGATGGCCGCGGGTTCCATTCCCGGCCCTCGCTCAATTTTCACACAAAAGAATCTTGTCAAATTGGCCTCGCAATTCATCTTTAAAAAAATATCTGACCAACATAAACCACCTCGGATGAGATTTTATGCATTTGTCATATTTTGAGTACCTAGTGTTAGCCCTGACACCCGAGGAAAATAATGTGTTCGGGCCCGGGATCGAACCCGCGGCCATCCCGGTATGGATCTTCCGAATTGGGAACACGGAAAAAAAATATCACTTGTCTCATTATTTTCTAGTCTAGTTTTACTTGTCAGGTGATCACCGTAGGTCGACCTTCCGCTGCGACTGTTGCTCTGTGGCCACAACATGTATTTATGACTTTTGAAGTTACCATAGGTTCAGACAGCATGCCAAGGTATCTATTTGTATTTTTATTTCGATTTATCTACCTAAGCTGCTTCTTGTCGTGCGACTTTTCATGCACAGCCACATCATCGCAAACTAAAACATGCACCACACCCCCAATTCTTTAGTTCAACAGTTTTTTTTGAAGACCAAATACCTTAGAAAGTCAATATATATCACCACTGGGCCAAAACAACCCACCATGATCTCGTTGAGCTCCAGGAAGGGTTTCCCAATTGGGAATTTCCTAATCCGGAAGGTCGACCTACGGCTTTTGCTGCGCGAGTGGAATCAGACCATAATCAGGTACTTTTTTTGCTCTCTCCAAATTTTCGAAAAAAAAAAGTTTTGATTTTGGTCTGACTAGTGAGACTAATTATTTTCGGGAACAGCTGTAAGGGCCTGATCGGGTGCACAAGAACTTTCTTAGAATTTTCTTAGAATTGGTTTTGGCTACTTATCCCGGAGAGATGATCTACCTTGATCTACTGGGGCTTCCTCACCTAATTTCAAAGCAGCACTAAGTACAAGTATATTGAGTACTCTATGTGCAGTGTTACAAGATTCTGTTAGCATGTTGAAGAGTGAAGAGTCAAGTTCATTGACTGCCGTCTGGCAAAAGGACACCGCCACCTTGGCAGTGTACCAAGCACTTGACAAAAAATATAGTTATATTATTCAGAGGATGCCCCAGGGAGGATTCGAACCTCCGGCTTCCCTGAAGTTTGACAATTTCTTTCGTAATTGAAAGGGATGACCTGCCATGATCTACTGAGGCTTCCTCACCTAATTTCAAAGCAGCAGTAAGTATGTATGTTGAGTGCTCTTGGTGCGGTGTTACAAGATTATGATAGGATCTTGAACAGTGTAAGAGTAAAAAAATTAATTTGTTGGCTGGCGTCTGGCAAAAGGAACCCGCCACCGTGGCGGTTTATCAAGCACTCCTGACAAAAAATATGGCTCAACTTATCTGCGAGTGCCCCAGGGAGGATTCGAACCTCCGGCTTCCCTGCGCCTTCTCCTACCATCACATAACTGAGAGGGACGATCTGCCTTGATCTACTGGCGCTTCCTCACCTAATTTCAAAGCAGCACTAAGTATATGTTGAGTGTTCTTGGCGCAGTGTTGCAAGATTATGATAGGATCTTGAAGAGTGGGAGAGTAAAAATTAGATTCATTGGCCGTCCAAAGGACACCGCCACCCAGCAGTGAGTGTATCAGGCCTGGACAAAAAGGGATAGAAAATCAAATGAATAGCCCAGTGAGGATTCGAACCTCCGGCTTCCCTGCACCTTTAATGGCAATTGCGTAACTGGAGACGGATGATCTGCCTTGATCTACTAGGGCTTCCTCACCTAATTTCAAAGCAGCACTAAGTATGCCGAGTGCTCTTGGTACAGTGTTATAAGATCCTGCTAGCATGGTGAAGAGTAGTGCAAGAGTAAAAGTGCAATGACTGCCATCAAAAGGAATCCGCTGCCATGAGCTGCTCGACAAAAAAGAGAAGGTTAACCTACGAGTGTGTTGGGATTAGTAATGCAGCTCGGCCTTCGGGCAATTGATTGATAAGATTCTTAGTAATACAGACAGTTCAAGTAGATACATGTAGAATATTCTAGATACATTTTGTAGTATATAAGCTCACTGTAAAATCCTGCCGGAGCATCTGATTGCTCTAAAGCAGCCTTCTAATCAACAGTGCTATTGCAATCTTAATCTACCTCCTCCGCTAATCTCGCCCTCTCCGCCTTTACTTCAACAGAGTGCCCCAGGGAGGAGTCAAACTCTGGCTTCCCTAAACCTCAATACTTTCGTCATATAATTGAGAGTGATGATCTGCATTGATCCACTGGGGCAATCCTCACCTAATTTAGAGTAAAAGAGTAAAATCCAATTCATTGGCTAGGAATCTGCCGCCATGGGTGTGTATCAAGTACTCAACAAAAAAAAGAGGATAATCACTGACTCCCAGTGCCCCAGGGAGGATTTGAACCTCCGGCTTCCCTAACGTCGTATAACTCATCACATAATTGAGAGGGATGATCTGCCTTGATCTACTAGGGCTTCCTCACCTAATTTCAAAGCAGCACTAAGTATGTTGAGTGTTCTTGGCGCAGTGTTGCAAGATTATGATAGGATCTTGAAGAGTGGGAGAGTAAAAATTCAATTTGTTGGCTGGCGTTGAGAGGAACCCGCCGCCGCGAAGCGCTCGACCAAAAAGAGCGAGGCTAGTATCTGTGAATGCCCCAGGGAGGATTCGAACCTCCGGCTTCCCTGCACCTTTCCTACATAGAATCACGCAACTGGAGAGGGATGATCTGCATTGATCTACCAGGGTTCTATCCCCTGGTTGCAAGATATGGTAGGTCGAGTACTTTTGGTGCAAGTGTTACAAGATTATGATAGCATGTTGAAGAGCGAGAGTAAAAATCAATTCATTGACTGCCGTCTGGCAAAAGGACAACCTTGGCAGTGTACAAACCACTTGACAAAAAAGATGACTGTCGTTCACCGCCAGTGCCCCAGGGAGGATTCGAATCTCCGGCTTCCCTGCACCTTTCCGTTGCAATCGCGTATTTGAACTAGAGAGGGACAATCTACTGAGGTTGTACACCCATGTTGCAAGATGGGCTAGGCTGAGCACTCTTTGGGCTCACTAATTTGCTTGATGTGTCTTGACCAGCCAGAGGACACAATTTATGTTTCAATTGGATTCCATGTGATCGCGAACCGTGGGATAAACGCACACATGACGTCGCCCGGACGATGCCGGTCCGGGTCCGTGCTTCTCCTTCCGCCACCTCGTCTGAAAGCCTCGCCTCGAGGCCCGTTCTGCGTCGTTCTTTGTGACACTTGGAAGTGCTATTGGAGGCTTGTATTGTCTTGGAAGTTGGGACACGGACGAAGAACAGGACAAGGAGCCGAACGACATCTGGATTCTGGATTGGCTTCAAGTCGCTACACGCTGAAAGACTGACTCTGTGAGCCGAGAATACTGTCCGTAAGGTCCTCCATTCTCATTTGAAGCTTCCCAGTCGCTGAAAGCGTCATCAGGCTGTCGTTCATTACTGGACAGATTTACGCTTGTCCTTGTCCAAAACAAAGGCTCCTGTAACCGCTAAAAGAACATATAAATCTCGTGCAAGGTCGGTCTCGAGGTGCTTGCACGTCCGTTTCGCAGGGGCTAAAGCTCTCCAAAGCGTTCCAGGAGAAGCGATCGCATTTACAACTACATCGCGGAGACGTGGTACGTATGGTTTCACGGTTCCTAGATGAACGCTAACGGCTCACAGCTAAAAACACATGGCTACGGTCGCAGAGCAGCCCTCAGGGGTCCCTATACCCATACCAACGCCCCCCTCCCCCTCTCCGTCCTTACCTTCTTCCACTCCCACCACGTCCACCTCCCCCTCATTCCCTTTCCCCCGCCCGCGCTCGCCCACAAAAGGCGAGCTCCCCCACCTCCAGCGCGCCACAACGGACATCAAGCCCAACGCGCACCCCTACCCCATCAAAACCACCTCCACCGCCCTCCTCTCGCGCTCCAACTCCGTCTCCGCCTCCCCCGCGACAAAGCACCACTACGTGCCTCTCCCGCCCTCGCCCTCCCCGTCGCACTCCAGCTCCTACTCCGGCACCGGGGCCGCGGGCGCAAAGGACAAGCGCACGACGGAGTACCGCGGGCACCGGTACAGCCGCAGTTTGAGCAGCAGCGAGGACATGTACCTCCCCCATTCGCACCACGCTGCGTCCTCTTCCGGGGGCGACGCCAACGGGAACATCAATGGGAACGCGAGTGCGAGCCCCCAGGGCCCGCGCGCGCTCCCGATCCCGCCCGGCGTGAGCAACAACAGCATCGCGAGCATGAACATGGCCGCGAACAAGAACACAAACGCGAACGGGACGTCCCCGAAGCGCTGGACGCCCGCGCAGCTCGCGGCGCACCTGGACCGCACGATCTCGCGCGAGGCGGGCGAGTGGGCCGCGCGGCGCGGGGTCGGCGGGCGCGCGTTCATGCGCATGGCGGAGGATGAGATGGCCGCGATGGGGTGAGTGGTTTTGGCGTTCTTGATGTTTTTTGTTTTCGTCTTCCTTTTTGTTTGTTTCGTCCGTTTCCACTTCCCCTCCACACTCCTCCATTCCGCCCCTTTCCTCCCCTACGCCATCCACCGTGTTTCCGTCCCCCTCCTACTTCGTATCTCCATCCTCCCATCGCCCCTCCCCCCCTCTTCCGCCTCCCCCCCCCGCTCCTCCTCCTCCTCCTCCTCCTCCCCCCTCCTCCACCTCTCCCGCCTCTCTCGTCTCGTCCCGCCCTCCTCTTCTCCCAAACTCCTCGCCCCGTATTATATCGATCCACACCCCTTTGTTTCGCGCGTTCTCGCCCCTCTTCCCTCTTCCCTGTTTTCCACTACGTACTACAGCTGCCCATTCATCCTTGTCATCACCCGCCGTCCTCCCCTCGCCGTCCTCCCTGTTCCCATTTGCTTCGTCCCCCCTTCTCCACGCCTCCGTTCGCGCACCCTCCACCGACCCTACCCTCATGTCGCGCCTCTCTTTCCTTTCCTTCCCTCCCCCCCCCCTCCTCCCCCGTCCCATTCTAACCCCACTCTTCCCCCCTTTCGCCACGTCCCGGTCCCCATCTCGCATTTGCTTAGCATTCGCCTTGTTCGCCTTACGCGATACCGGCGCTTCATTCACTATCTTATATGCTCCTCTCTCCTCCTCCTCTTTCCACGTCGCCCGCCGCCCGCCGCTCCTGCTCCTGCTCCTGCTCCTGCTCCTCCTCTTCCACCTCTCTCGCCCCCGTCCCCCCCCTCTTCTCCCAAACTCCCCGCCCCATACTGTATCGATCCCTACATCTCCCCACCTCTTTCGCGTGTTCCGCTTCCCTCTTCCCTCTTCCACGACGTACCATACCTGCCTATTCATCTTTGTCATCACCTGCCATCTCGCCGTCCCTGTTCCCGTCTGCTTCGTCCCCCTTCTCCAGGCCTCGGTCGTGGCCTCCACCTACCCTACCCTACCTTCATGTCGCGCCTCCCACCTTTCCTTCCCTCCTCCCCCCTTCCCCTCCCTTCTCCTTCAATCCATCGTTGTGATCGCACCGCCCGCCGCATAATTCCGGTTCTGCAGAGGTGGTGTCACCCCTCATCGTCCCCATCCGTGTGCCTCCCATTCCACCACTTTGCTTCTTATTCCTTCTCTCTCGTCTTGTCCCTTCCACCCATCCCTTGGTTTCGCGCCTTCCCCGCATCCTGCCTCAAATGCTTCTTCGTCGCTTCCCCTCCCCTCCCCTCCTCCCTTTGATCTTATCCGACGTATCGAATCCCTACTTTCCTTCCCACTCCTCTGTTCTTTTTTGTCCCTCCTCTCACTCCCACTCGCTTTCTTCTCTCTTCTCCCTACGCCCATACTAACACCCCCTCCCCTCCCAGCGCCCCCGCCCCCGCCACCCTCCGCCCCGCCGCGCGCGCCCTCCGGCAGGAGGTCCTCCAGAGCCAACTCGACGTCTCCTCCAGCCCCGTCTCCTCGGGCAGTGAGTCGCCAACAAGAAGGATCCTGAACGCATCTCCCACCCGAGGGCTCAATGCCTCCCCCACCCGCGGGCTCAACGCGTCCCCCATGCGCATCGACGAGGGGGAGGAAGACGTTTTCGGCGTCGGAGGCGGAGCGGAAGGGGAAGCAGAAGACGACGACGACACGCCCTCGCGCCGGGGCGCCCGCACGCACGCGACGCCGCACATCAGGGCGTCCGCAGCGCCGTGGGCCTCGCGCGGCGACAATGCGACGTCGCCGTCGCCGTTTACCAGTGCGGACTCCCCCCGCAACGGGCGCGTGCGCGGGATGGTGCGCACGCTTGAGAGTAGTGGGAGCGAGGGTGGGAGCGGGAGCGAGTGGGATGGGTCGCCGGAGCGCGGGGGGAGCGGGTTCCGACGCGTGCGGGTGGGGAGCAACGCAAATGGGAATGGGAACGGGAACGGGAACGGCGGCGCGGGGGGCGAGATCCGCAACGGGCACGGGAACGGGAGCGGGTTCCGGCAGCAACACGCGAATGGGAGCCAAGTGAGCGTCGGGAGCCAGAGCCAGAGCGGGGGAGAAGAGAGCGACGGCGTGGGGGGGACGATGCGCCCGCAGCGCTCGCTGCCCGCGCGGCCGGATGGGGTGGAGGTGGGGATGGTGGATTTGGGCGGCGCGACTGTGCGCGCTGGCGGCGAGGGGAATGGGAATGGGAATGGCACCACGACGGCGCCGGGCGAAGACGAGTTGACGGTCGAGGAGCTGCTTGCGCTCGAGCCGCAGGGAACAGGCACCGGGAGCTGGCGGCGCTCTCCACGGCGGAGTGGGCACGGGCACGGACATGGGCGCGGACATAAACACGAGCAGAACACGATCACCGCGGAGGGCCTGGTGTCGCAGCACAGCACCGGCGGGCGCCCGCTGCCCCCGCAGCCCCCGCGCGCGGGCCGGTCGTCGTCGGGCGGCGTGCATGCGTGGGAGGCGGACGAGGGGCTCGTCGGGAGCACGGTTAAGCGCGTGCCGGCGAGCACGCCCACGCACGCGCACGCTGCCGTGCCGTTCGAGGTGCCCGGTCGCGTCGTCGTCGCCCCGCCCGCGAGTAGTGCGAGTGCGGCACAGAGCCACGCGGAGAGGAAGGCGCTGGAGGAGGAGGCGGCGGCGCGCGGGCGGGAGCGCGGGCGCGCAGTGCGCGCGCAGGTGGCGGAGGCGAAGCGGGAGGGCGCGGTGCTGCGCGATATCGTGGAGGAGTTCCGCGCGCGGCTCGAGGAGGTGGAGCGGAAGGTGGGGGCGATGGAGGTGGCTGCTGCGTCTGGTTCTACCGCCCCTGCTTCCACCGCTACTCCCGCTGGCGTGCCGCCCCCCAGCAGCACGTTGACGCGCCTCGACCCCCGGCGGCTCCTCGCCGCGTTCTTCGGGAGCGCGTCGGCGCAGGATGGAGCTGGGAATGGGAATGGGGACGTGAAGACGCGCGGCAAGGGCAGGGGGGCGGAGAACGACTTCATGGGGCCGACGACGATCAGGGCGCTGCCGTCGTACGTGCTGCTCGTCGGGCTCGGCGTGTGCGCGGTTGTGTTGCGCGTGCTTGTGCGGCGCGGGTTTGGCGCGGTGCGGAGGCGCCCGTGATGGATCCCTTGCTCTCTCTGTGCGGCAAGTCCATTACGCTGGCTCGGGATGGTCCTTCGCCGTGTTATACCCTACGCCATCCACGGCGGTTTCCTGCTCGTCTCCTCGCCTTCTCCATGCCGTGCAGCAAGCTCTCATGCATTCCTTCCCTCCCCGCGCAAAACCTGTCTATCTCACTATCTCACTATCGATAATCTA